ACCAATCTTAGTGTCATCTGCAAACTTGCTAATCAGACCATCTACACCTTCCACCAGATCATTTATGTACTCATTAGTAAAGTTAGGTCACATGGGATTCAGGGTGAGCTTGGTAATTGGATACAAAATTGGCTTAATGGCAGGAGACAGGGAGTAATGGTGGAGGGTCAACACAGTGTGGAGCTTGAGGAACACCGCAGATCAGGCAGCATCAGAGGAGTAGGAAAGTCAACGTTTCAGGTCAGGACCCTTCTTCAGAATCAAGCAGGCTGCTTTGTCCTGGATAGTGTCAGGAGCTATACACATCTAGGCAAGTGAGGAGTATTCTATCACATTCCTGGCTTGTGCCTTGTAGATGGTGGACAGGCTTTGGGATTCTGAAGAAGGATCCTGACCCAAAACATCGACTTTCCTACTCCTCTGATGCTGCCTGGCCTGCTGTATTCCTCCAGCTGCACACCATGTTGACTCTGACTCCAGCATCTGCAGTTCTTGGTACCTTTGAGTAATGGTGGAAGGTTGCTTTTGGGAGTGGAGGCCTGTGGCCAGCGGTGTTCCACAGGAATCGGTTCTGGGTCCTCTTTTGTTTGTCATTTATATAAATGATTCAGATGAGAATATAGAAGGCATGGTTAGTAAGTTTGTGGACAACACCAAAATTGGTGGCACAGCACACAGTGAAGAAGGTTTTCTGAGATTACAGAGGGATCTTGATCCAATGGGTCAATGGGCTGAAAATTGGCAGATGGAGTTCAATCTAGATAACTGTAACATACTGAGTTTTGGTACAACGAACAAAGTTAGGGCTTACACAATTAATGGTAAGGCCTTGGGTAGTGTTGTAGAACAGAGGGACCTAGGGGTGCTGGTACATAATTCTTTGAAGTTTGTGTCACATATAGACAGAGTGGGTCAAAAAGACGTTTGGCACACTTGCCTTCATTGCTCAGTCCTTTGCGTATAGGAGTTGGGAAGTCATGTTGAGGTTGTAAAGGACATTGTTGAGGCCTCTTCTGGAATACTGTGACGAGTTCTGGTCGTCCGGTTACAGGAAAGATAGTATCAAGTTGGAGAGGGTTCAGAAGAGATTTACCAGGATGTTGCCGGGTATGGAAAGTTTGAGTTATAAAGAAAGGCTAGATAGGCTGGGACGTTTTTACTTGAGCACAGGAGGTTGAGAGGCGACCCGATAGAAGTTTATAAAATAATGAGAGGTACAGATAGAGTTAATGATAGTTGCCTTTTACCTAGATCAGGGGATTTCAAGACTAAGGGCACATTTTAAGGTGAGAGGAGAGAGATTTAAAAAAGGCATGAGGGGCAATGTTTTTACACAAGAAGGTCGTTCGCGTGTGGAATAAACTTCCGGAGGAAGTGGTGGATGTGGGGACAATTACAACTTTTAAAAGACATTTGGACATGTATATGAATAGGAAAGGTTTGGAGGGATATGGGCTGGGAGCAGGCAGGTGGGATTAGTTTATTTTGGGATTATAATCGGCATGGACTGGTTGGACTAAAGCATCTGTTTCCGTGCTATGTGACTATGGTGTGGACTAAATATTACTTGTCACTTATCAGTGAACCTTCCATCACTTTACTAATGTTCGAGAGTAGACTGATGGGGAGGGTGTTGCTGGGTCGGATTTGTCCTACTTTTTGTGTCCAGGATATATCTGTGCAATTTTTCACATTGTCAGGTAGATGCCAGTGTTGTAACTGTACTGGAACAGATTGGCTAGGGGAGCAGCAAGTTCTGGAGCACAAGTCTTCTGCAGCACAAGTACTATTGCTGGAATGCTGTCAGGGCCCATAGCCTTTGCACCATCTAGCGCCTCCAACCCTTTCTTGATACTACATAGAATGAAATGAATTGGTATCTGTGATGCTGGGCACCACTGAAGGAGGCTGAGATGGATCATCCAATCAACACTTCTGGCTGAAGATTGCTGCGAACGCTTCAGCCTTATCTTTTGCACTGATGTGCTGGGCTCTTCCATCATTGAGGATGGGGATATTTGTGGAGCCTCCTCCTCCAGTGAGTTGTTTAATTGTCCACCACCATTTGCAACTGGATGTGGCAGGACTGCAGAGCTTAGATCTGATCCATTGGTTGTAGGATCCCTGAGCTTTGTCTATCACTTGCTGCTTTCGCTGTTTGGTGTGCAAGTAGTCCTGTTTGGTGGCTTCACCAGATTGATACTTCATCTTCAGGTATGCCTGGTGCTGCTCCTGGCATGTCCTCCTGCACTCTCCATTGAACCAGGGTTGATGCCCTGGCTTGACGGTAATGGTTGAGTGGGGGATATGCCAGGCCATGAGGTTACAGATTGTGCTGGAGTATAATTCTGCTGCTGTTGATGGCCCACAGCGCCTCATGGATGCCCAGTCTTGAGTTGCTGCATCTGTGCAAAGTCTGTCCCATTTAGCACGGTGATAGTGCCACACAACACGATGGAGGGTATTCTCAATGTGAAGGTGGGACTTCGTCCCCACAAGGACTGTGCGATGGTCACTCTTACCGATACTGTCATGGACAGATACAACTGCAGCTGGCAGATTGGTAAGGATGAGGTCAAGTCTGTTTTTTCACTCTTGTAGGTTCCCTCACCATCTGCCACAGACCCAGTCTAGCAGCTATGGCCTTTAGGACCCGACCACCTCGATCAGTAGTACAAGCCACTCTTGGTGGTGAACATTGAAATCCCCCACCCAGAGTACATTTTGTGCCCTTGCCACCCTCAGTGTTTTCTCCAAGTGCTGCTGAACATAGAGGAGAGACTGATTCATCAGCTGAGGGAGGACGATATGTGGTAATCAGCAGGAGGTTTCTTTGCCCATGTTTAACTTGAAACTATGAGACTTCATGGGGTCTGGGGTCAATGTCGAGGATTCCCAGAGCAACTCCCTCCCTGACTGTATACCACTGTGCTGCCCACTCTGCTGGGTGTGTCCTGCCGGTGGGACAGGACATATCCAGGGATGGTGATGGTGGTGTCTGGGACATTGTCTGTAAGGTATGATTCTGTGAGTATGACTATATCAGGCTGTTGCTTGACTAGTCTGTGAGACAGCTCTCCCAATGTTGGCACTAACCCCCAGATGTTAGTGAGGAGGACTTTGCAGGGTCAATAGGGCTGTTTCTGCCATTGTCTTTTCCAGTACCTAGGTCGATCCCAGGTGATCCGTCCAGTTTCATTTCTTTGAACAAAAACAGAAGTTGCTGGAAAAGCTCAGCAGGTCTGGCAGCATCTGTGACGTTAAAAACAGAGTTAACATTTCAGGTCCGGTGACCCTTCCTCAGAACACGGCTCATTCACCGTGCTAATAAGAAACTTTTTATTTTCCTTTCAGGCATCAAGGCCCACAAGATGCAACAACTCAAAAATACCCATGGCCCTCTGGAACCTTCCTCTCCTCCCCTTCCCTCTGACTCCATCTCCTCTCCTAGCCCTCTTCCTGTTGGTTATTCACCATCCCGCCTAACCTTCTGCTCCCTGATACTGAATGCTCCGTACTCAGCAAAGGCCTCAGCTTTATCCCTCTGCGTCCCCACCTTAACGAATTTTGGGCACGACATGACGCTGAACTCTTCTTCCACCGTCTTCGCCTCCGTGCTCCTTTCTTTGGACAAGAGTCCTCTTCCCATCCCACAGACTCCTTTGCCGAGTTCCAACACTCTCCCTCCACCTGGACCCCTCCCTCCGGCCTTTTACCTACACTCGACCTGTTCATTGAGAACTGCTGACGTGATATTAGTCGCCTCAATTTCTCTGCCCCCCTCACCAAATCTAACCTATCTCCCTCCATGCACTTAGATCTAACCCTGACTTTGTTATTAAGCCTACCAATAAGGGTGGTGCTGTTGTAGTCTGGCGTACCCACCTCTACATTGCAGAGGCTGAGCGCCAGCTCTCAGATACCTCCTCCTACCTTCCTCATCATTACACATCAGGCCTTTGTATCTACGTGGTAACTGATCTCATTTCATCCGGTGATCTCCCTACCTCTGCTTCCAACCTGATAGTCCCCCAGCCCCACAGAACTCGCTTCTACCTTCTTCCAAAAATCTACAAACAGGACTATCCGGGCAGACCCATTGTTTCAGACAGTTCTGAGGAAGGGTCACTGGACTCGAAATGTTAACTCTGTCTTTAACGTCACAGATGCTGCCAGACCTGCTGATCTTTTCCAGCAACTTCTGTTTTTGTTCCTGATTTACAGCATCCTTAGTTCTTTCGGTTTTCATTTCTTTGAGACTTTGCAGGCACCAACTTCACTTGATACAAATGAATGGCTTGCTAGGCCATTTCAGAGAACAGTTGAGAGTCAACGACATTGCTATGGAGTCTGGAGACACATGCAGGCCAGACAAGTTGAGGTTGGCAGATTTTCTTCCCCAAAGGAGATTTGTTAGCCAAATGGACTTTTTTTCCTGACAAGCGACAATAGTTTAATGGTCATCGGTACATTCTTAATTCCAGATGTTTTTTATTGAATTCAAATTCCGAAATTACCCATGGCAGGACTCGAACTCAGCTCCCCAGAACATTGTCTGCGTTTCTGGATTAACTGTCTAGCGATAATACCACAAAGCTATTGCCTTCCTCTCAATCTTAAATTGGTACCCGTTTGTTCTGAGACAATGCCCTCTTGTCCTAGACTCTCCCAAAAGTGGGGAAACATCCTCTCAGCATTGACCCTGTCAAGCCCCTTGAGAATTTGATATGTTTCAATGAGATCACCTCTCATTCTTTTAAACTGCTTACTATTTACCATTTCTTAACTTTGGTATCAACAACATTGTTTGAAATTTTAGTCTGTATTCCATTACATATTTATGCTCATTAAAAAAAAAGTGGTCCCAGCACTGACTGTTTCGGAACGCCATTGTCTATAAAACAACCTATTAGCATGTTAGAATATTTTATCCAAGCTGGCACTGATCCTTTTGCCCCTTGAGCCTCAGCTTTCGAGAACACATACTTTGTATCACTTACTTTAGTTTAGGCTTTGGTGTGCTGAGAACACTTTCATTGTCCTCCATTTCCGGGCCACTGTCACTAGGATTGTAAACTTCCAGGCTTTCATACAGTAGATCAAGGTCCTCCTCTGCTTCCTGGGTCTGGTCCACAGGATCAGAATCCAGCACCTTTCATACAAAACAAATCAATCACATTTTAGCAATCAGAAATCACACAGCTATTTCAATCTGTCCTCTGGTTGAGTGGGACTCCACACTTGTGTCCCTAAGAGCCAGCACCATTTTAGTTGACAGCATACATGCCTCTGAATTAGAAGGTTAAATTCCCTGTCCAAAACACAAGCTCAAAGATTTTGGGGCTGACTTCAAAGCTAGGACAAGAGGGCAGAGCCTCAAGATTAGAGGGAGCAGATTTAGGACTGAACTGAGAAGGAATTTCTTCACCCAGAGGGTTGTTAATCTATGGAATTCCTTGCCCAGTGAAGTAGTTGACGCTACTTCAGTAAATGTTTTTAAAAAAAAGGTAGATTTTTTTTTGAACAGTAAAGGAATTAAGGGATACGATGAGAACGCGGGTAAGTGGATCTGAGTCCACGAAATGATCAGCCATGATCTTATTGAATGGCGGAGCAGGCTCGAAGGGCCAGATGGCCTACTCCTGCTCCTAGTTCTTATGTTCACTGCGGCGCTGGAGGAGTGCTGAAATGCCAGAGGCAATGGTTTAAATTACATGTTAAAGAGAAGCTCCATAGGTTCTGACCATCACTTTCACATCCTCCCTGGCTACAGGCAAGTTGCTGGAGGACTGAAGGATAACTAATGTGTACGCTGCCTAAAATATGAAGCCGAACTGTACGAAATAATCATACATCAAGGTCAGAAGTCACACAACACAAGTTATAGTGGTTTATTTGAAATCATAAGCTTTCAGAGCATCACCCCTTTCTCAGGTGAAGAGAGAGAGTAGCAGCCAGAACACAGAATTTATACGCAGAAAAATCAAGGGCAGAGAGATCAAAAGATCATACAAATGATGAGAGTGGAGTATCGAATGATAAGTCTCTGCAGGTGATCAATAGTGTCAGATGATGTGAGTAAAGTATCCACAGCTGAATAACAAGTGAAGGAATGACCTTTAATCCGATTAAATGAGGCAGAGTGATAATACAAAAAATTAAAAATAAGGTGGTGCTGCAGACGAAGCATATGACTGGAACAACATGATAGGTATTAGAGTCGCATGCCGAGGGTCATAGAGAAACAGAGACACAGACACAAAGAGACAGGGATAACTAGGGCCCATGCAACACTGTTGACCTGAAGAAGGTAAGGAGTTAAAAGAGAAGTTGTTCAGGGCAAGGACGAACTCAGTCAGGTGGAGGAGGGTGGTGGTGGATGGGACAGTTCAGGCCTTTTTTCCAGGAAGAAGTCAAGATCCCTGAGGCCATCCTGGTGGGGGATGGATGTGTAAAGGGATTGCATGTCCACGGTAAAGAGGAGGCGGCTGGAGCCAGCAAACTGGAAATTCTGAAACTAATGTAAAGCAAGGAAAGGAAAGAATCAAAGTCGAGGTAGGACGAGATGAGTTCTGTGGGGCAGGAGCAGGCAGAAACAATGGGTCTGTCAGGGCAGTCATATTTGTATATTTTGAGAAGGAGGTAGCAACAAGCTGTGCAGTGTTGGGGGATTATCAACTTGGAGGCAATGGTGGGGAGATCACCGGATGAAATGAGGCTAGTGACTGTTGTGGACTCAATAGCATGGTGTCCCATGGTGGGGTCATGGTCCAGGAGGAGATATGAGGAGGTATCTGAGAGCTGGCGCTCAGCCTCCACAATATAGAGGTCAATACACCAGACAACATCAGCGTCACCCTTGTTGGCAGGCTTGATGACAAAGTCAGGGTTGGATCTGAGAGTACGGAGTGCAATCAGTTCAGAGGGAGATGGGTTTGAATGGATGAGGTGGGGGGAGCGGGGGGCAGTGAAATTGAGGTGACCAATGTCAAGTCGCTAGTTCTTGATGAACAGATTGAATGTAGGCAAATGCCCAGAGGGAGGTTTCCAGGTGGAGGGAGAGTATGGAGGTGGGTGAAGGGATCTCTGTGACTCTAGTCCGAAGAAACAGGTACAGAGGTGAAGGTAACCGAAGAAAAGTTCAATGTCATATTGTGCCTGAAATGTTTTAAGGTGGGGGCACAGAGGGATAAAACTAAGACCTTTGCTGTGTACAGAACGTTCAGCACCAGAGAGCAGAAGGTCAGAAGGGATCACCATCAGTTTGTTCAGTACCACTCACAGTGACTGTAATCCCACCAAGTTCCTCTTCTCCTGATTTACAGCACAGGTTACTCAGCTGGAGTATTGTGTACAATTTTGATCAACACCTCACATGGTTAGAGGGTACACAAGATAAAGTACAGAGGCAATTTATGAGGGTGTTGCCAGAAGGGGAGACTTTTATCCAGGAGGAAAGGTGTTGGAAAGGCTGAGGTTGTTTTGTTTGGGACACAGGAGGCTGAGAGATGATTTGATCGAGGTGTTTAAAATTACGAAAGGCTAAATAGATTACATTAGATGAATGTACAATTGGGTAAATAAGAAGACGTGGATTTAAAGTAATTGGCAGAATGAATAGAGGGTTACTGAAGAGAAAGTATTTTGTCCAGAGGATAGTGGGGATCAGGAGCTCACTGCCTGAAAGGATTGTAGATCTGGAAACACTCATCGAATTTTAAAAACACGTGTGTATGGGCCTGAAGTGCTATGAAGGTATGGACCAAGAACAGGAACAAAGATGGATAGCTGCCTTTTGGCTGGCAAGGAGACACTGGGCAAAATAACCTCCTCCTGTGCTGTAAATATTCTAAGTTAGCACACCATAGTGAATAGCTTTCACAGGTTAACTTGCAAGGGGCGGGGGGGGTGGTAAATGTCCTTCATAATTTTAAAATATTCTATTAAGACACCTGAAGAACACCATTTTTCCCAAAAGATATGAGTCTTACTCCTCAACATTCCCTCAGAACTGAAAGACTCAATGCCCATTAACAGTGATGATGTTGCAATTTTCTAGCAGAAAGAGGTCATTCTGAGCACTCTGTTAGAGTAATCTCTTTGGTACAATCATCCACTTCCCCACTCTCCCCATCATCCTATTATACTGTGTTTCAAATATCAACTCATTCTCTTTTCGAAAAGCACAACACTTTGTTTCTACCTCTTGCTGTGGGAAATCATTTCACGCTCCAATAATCCTCTGTGTAATGATACTTCTTCTAACCATTCCCCTTATTCAGTTGACAACAACTTAAAAGTGTTCACCCTTTAACCAATTCTTTAACAGGAATTTACTCTTATAGTGTGCATTTAATTTCGTACAATATCCCAGGTGCTTAACAACAATGATGGCAATTAAAGACAATGTTGGCATTTCTTTTGGACACTGAGATGCAGAAGGGGAAAGCAAGAAAGGTGATTGAAAGGTTGGTCAAGTAGCATTTTTAAAGCAGAGACAGAGGCATAGGGAGGCATCTACGGGACTGAGGCCACTGGTGGAGTAATTGATACAATGTGGAAATCCCTCTTCAATATTCAAAACCATCTTCGTAAATTTGCCTTCACCATCCTGCTGTAGTGGGAACAGTCCCGATTTTATCTGCCAAAAGCAAACTGAACCTGCTTACAAAAATCATGATGCAGGAAAGCTACATTCATGCAGATGTTGGAACATTACGAGTTAATAATCAAACTGATTTAGAACAGGTTTTCTTAGAAAAACAGTAAAACAGCAGAGTAGTGAGAGTGAAGGATGGCTTCTGTTTCTCCCAAAAGTCTGAGTATTATCTGCAAGGAATGACTTTACAGGCAAATAAGCTCCTGGGACAACATTGACCATGAGTGATTAATGTACAACGTTAGTGATTGTTTGAGTAAATATTGACAGATGGATCAATTAACCATAGTATAAAGTTAATGCTTAGTCAAATGGTCCCTCAATAAAAGTGGCTTTTCCTAAAATGATCTGAGGGCAGATAAATCATGAGGTCTTATCTGTAAAATTTACTGTTGAAGTTGTCACATAAATGTGTAAAGAAGGATGGTTTCCCAGTGTTAGATACAAAGCTCAAAGAAAAGAGAGACCCACAGAGACCGCATTGATCAACTATTCCATACACTTCAACATCAAGTGCTTTGTGCTTACTCATGCTGCGTCTTTGTGAGCTGTAGAAGGAAGGAGGTTGACCCAACAGTTGATCCAGTACTACGTACCTCATCAGTTACTTTGAATCTCTTCAGCAAGGCAACGAATTTCTGTTTAAAGTTTGGTTGCTAAGTGGGGAGAAGAGAAAAGGAAAGGGTGTGAACTGAGGCTGTGATTGTCAGTAGGATATAGCAAGTAGGATATAGCTGGACACAGTGGGCTTCAGCACCAAGGTTTGGCACCTTCAAGTGACAGGACATAGGGACAATCTCACATTTCTAATTTCAGCCAAGCTTCTACACCACAGGGATTCGACAGTAGGGAAGAGTGAAGGGATCCTCACCGATGTGCCTTTTAGAGCCCATGTGAGGAGGGTTCATTACTGATTCTCACTGGTTTGCTTGATCGAAATAAAGTGATCCAGGACTTTCAGAAGAGTGGACGTGGCCCAAATGGAGAAAGTGCTTTATTGCCACTGGAATTTGTATTACATAGAACATAGAACATAGAACATTACAGCGCAGTACAGGCCCTTCGGCCCTCGATGTTGCGCCGACCTGTGAAACCAATCTGAAGCCCATCTAAACTAAACTATTCCATTATCATCCATATGTTTATCCAATGGCCATTTAAATGCCCTTAAAGTGGGCGAGTCTACTATTTTTGCAGGCAGGGCATTCCACGCCCTTACTACTCTCTGAGTAAAGAACCTACCTCTGACATCTGTCCTATATCTATCACCCCTCAATTAACACAGATAACATGTTCCTGTTCCCTGAAACCTTTCAAGCTATACAGCTGATCATCCAGATGTTTCAGTTAAGTCTCACACATCCATTCATTATGCCTGAGCAGTACATTGGGTCATTTCTCCCTGAGATAGAGAATCTGGAGATGTGCAATGGGATCCTGGTATAGATTGCCGGGATCCTGGTATAGATTGCCGGAGGGGGCGGTGATATCTTTGATCTTTGAACACTGCTCCTGATGGTACACTTCCCAATCTTTTCTCAGGACCATCTCCACTCAGCCAGCTTTGGAATAAGGAAGATTTGGGAATATTTGCTGCGGCTAGAAAGGGTTGAATGAGGGGCAGGTTCACATGGCATCCTTTTGACCCAGAGAGGTGGGGGGAGAGGTGTAGGGAGGGGGGCTTGGATCCCTAGAACGAAGACAACTGCTGTTGCAACGTGAGCAGCATTGGAAGGGTTGAGAATTTCTCTTCATCCTGAGGAGGTGTTGGTAATGATGGGCCACCAGTGATTGATTTTGGTGGCCTTTCTAGCCCAAGACCATAACCACTGAGCTTCTTGTACAGTGGCGTCTAAGTCTGGGGTTATTTGTGAGGAGGTGGGGGCTGCTTGGGGAGCTAATGGGTATTTGTCATCAAAGTGATCAAAAACTGATGTGACATTTCTGTGTGCTCTCCCCTTCCTTTGCCTCCTTTTGTGGCCACCACATGAGGTCAGTTACTCAGGGTCTTTCTGCCTGTACTGCAGCACCTCTATGAACAACAGTTGTAGCCCTGACTTTCTCAGATCACACTGCTCAGGTCTGATTGGAAGGGCTGGTTCCCACATCCATATCCATCACCCTGATCCTGGTGGATCCAATGATGCCAGTCGAGGGCATGTGGGAAGGTTCTGCTCTGTGCAAGTGCCATTGTTTGGGGAAGAAGACCAATTCCTGCCTTTCCTCGTGCAAACTGAGCACTGTTTCTTTCACTTTGTGCTGCTTTAGCGTAAATATCCCGAGTATGAGTTACCTTCCCTTTTACGGAATGTCATTCACAAAGGTTGACAGCTTCAGACTGAATGATATGTGCGTATGTTTCTGATCAATGATCTGGCCCAGCCTAAACAAATTAGCAGTGGAGATATAGGTGAAGACTCACTTGACTCTATCTAAACCAAGAACTGCCCATTCCCAGTGGCTGGGCACATGGTCCATTTTAACTGATTTATTAGGATTAAGAGTCCAGCTTTAACTACCATTACCCGTGTCATTGAGGTTGTCCGGATCATTTTCCGTCGGGTCTTCTTAGTTTTTCTCAGCTCATCATCTTCATCATAAAGATCCTAAACACAAATTAATGCCATTCTTACATGGAATTACACTGAGGCTGCAACATATGAATAAGTCATTTGGCCTCACCGGACCATGCTTGTACAATATTTATGTTGCCCTCAAACTTCGTCCCATCCTTCCTTATTTAACACTTTCAATAGAATCCTCTATTCCCTTCTCATTCAAGTCTCGATCCACCTTCTCCTTAAATGCATCTACTCTCCTGCCCTTCAGCTGCTGTTTGTGATAGTGAGTTCCACGTTCTCATCACTCTCTTGAGTAAAGAATTCATTTTGGAGTCTTTTTCACAAAATAAAAGCCTTTGCAGTAGATTATTAGCTAGCACCTAAACATTCAGGTCAAGGATGCATTTAACTCTAAGGAAATGATCCTATCAGAATAATCTGCACTCTCATCATTTACAGCTCAGATAAAGGGCATATGCTCATTTTCGCCCGTGCCACCTCTTACAGTGATCTTATTAGTCTCCCTCCCTTTGCTCTTTCCATGTAAAATTTCCCCTTCAAGTATTTCTACAAATCATTTGGAAAATGATTAGCAAATCTGCTTCTGTTATCCTTTCAGGGAATATAAAAAGAAGATTTTTCATGTCACCCCGGTCATATTGCCAATTGTCTTCAGTCTGTCTCCACAGGTTACAAACCCTCCTATCACTGAAAACAATTTTTCGTTATTTCTTTTGCTATTTAAGACGGAGATAGTTTAAACTAATAAATGCGGATGGGGGAAGTCAATACAGTTTCAAAAACAAGTGACATGACAGAGTGTGAAGGAGCAATCAGGAATCCTACTTCAGGCATGGCAGATAATGCCAAGAATGTAAAAAGTGTATTGAATAAACTAGAAGAGAGAAATAATTAACAGGTGAATAAATCGTCGCTGCTGACGGACAGGTTACAGTGTACGGCCCAAATAAGAGTTTAATGTATGAATACACAGAATGCAAGGAATAAATTAAGTGAGCTGCAGGTACAATTTAAAATGGGAGATGACAATATAGTAGCCATTACCGAAACATGGCTATAGAATGGTCGGCACTGGGAACTAAATATACCAGGATATAACGTTTACAGGATGGACAGTGTGAATAGCAGAGGGGTTCGATACAATGTGGAGCTGGAGGAACACAGCAGGTCAGACAGCATCCAAGGAGCGGGTAAGTCAATGTTTCGGGTCGGGACCCTTCATCAGGACTGGCGAAGGGGAAGGGAGCTCAGGAATAAATAGAGGGAGGAGGGGTGCGGCTGGGGGAAGGTAGGTGGGATGGTGATAGGTGAGTGCAGGTAGGGGTTGGTAGAGATTGGTCAAGGGAAGGGTGGGGCGGACAGGTGAGAAGGAAGATGAACAAGTTGTGTCAGGTCAAGGAGGGTGGGGATGAGAGGGAGGGCTGGACATGGGATAAGGTCATGGGAGATTTTGAAGCTGGTGAATTCTATGTTGAGGCCATTGGGCTATAACCTCCACCCTATATACATACCACCCACCCCACCAATCTCCAAATCCAACGCATCATCGTCCATCATTTTCGCCATCTGCAATCAGACTCTACCCACCAAAGTGATAATTCTTTGCCCACCCCTATCTGCTTTCCATAGGGACCGCTCACTCTGCAACTCCTTGTCCGCTCCACCTTCCCCACCAACCCTTCCATCACACTCGGCACCTTTCCCTGTAATTGCAGGAAGTGCTCCAACTTACCTACATCACCCCCTTACCTCCATCCAAGACCCCAAACCATCATTCCAAATCCAGCAGGGAATCACCTGTACATTTTCTTACCTGGTCTATTGCAACCATTGCTCACGATGTGGTCTCCTCTACATCAGAGAGACCAAATGCAGCCTTGGTGACCAATTCACGGAGTATCTGTGCTCTGTATCTCCAATCAACACCACCTTCTGGTTGCCAGCCATTTCAACTCCCCTCCCACTCCCTTGGTGATATGTCCATCCTGGGCTTCCTCCAATATAACAATGAGGCCACACGTAAACTGGAGGAACAACACCTTATATTCCACCTCGGGAGCTTACAATCCAATGGCCATTAACATAGAATTCACCAGCTTCAAAATCTCCCGACCCCAACCTCAACCCATGTCCAGCCCTCACTCTCATCCCCGCCTCCGTGACCTGACACAACTTGTCCATCCTCCTTCTCACCTGTCCGCCCCACCCTTCCCATTGAACAATCTCCATTACCCTCTACCTGCATCCACCTATCACCATCCCACCTACCTTCCCTCTATTTATTCATGAGCTACCTCCTTGCCTCCCTGGTCCTGATGGAGGGTCCTGAGCCGAAACATCAACTTTCCTGCTCCTTGATGCTGTCTGACCTACTGTGCTCCTCCAGCTCCACGTTGTATTGACTCTGACTTCCAGTATCTGCAGTTCTTGCTATCTCCAAGCAGAGGAGGTTGAGCAGCTTTACTGATTAGAAACAAGATCACTTCAATTAAGGGAGGTTATAAAGAGAGGAAAACACGTAGTGGAGACCTTGCAGGAAATGGCAGGTCCCTGGGGAGTGTTGTTGAACGGAGAGATCCAAGGGTGCAGGTAAAGTGGTATCACAGGTAGACAGGTTAGTGAAGAAGCCATTTGGCATGCTTGTCTTCATCAGCCAGAACACTGAGTACAGGAGTTGGGAGATCATGTTATGGCTGTACAAGACATTGGTGAGGCCACTTTTAGAATACAATTGTCGTTGCCCTGCTAGAGGAAGGACGTTATTAAACTGGAAAGGTTGCAAAAAAAAATTACAACAATGTACCAAGACATGAGAGTTCAAGTTATAAGGAGAGGCTGGGACTTTATTTTTACTGGAGCGTAGGAGGCTGAGGGGTGACTTTATACAGGTTTATAAAATTATAAGGGGCATGGATACAGTGAATAGTCAAGGTCTTCTCCCAGGATAGGGGAACCTAAAACTAGAGGGCATAGGTTTATGGTGAGAGGGGAAAGATTTAAAAGGGACTTGAGGGGCAACATTTTCAAACAGAAGTTGGTGTGTGTATGGAATGAGCTGCCAGAGGAAGGGGTAGAGGCTGGTACAGTTACAATATTTCAAAGACATTTGGACAGGTGCATGAATATGAAAGGTTTGGAGGGATATGGGCCAAATGCAGGCAAGTGGGACTAGCTTAGTTTGGGAAACGTGCTTGTCACGGATGAGTTGGACAGGAGGGTCTGTTTGCATGCTGTATGGCTCTAAAACATTGCCAGTTATGGAACAAGCAGCCAGTTTGTAAAATTTTACCATCTGACTGCTTCCTTTTACAAAGAACTGGCTATGAATCATGGTGTAACAACTTTAATGGAGCTAGACAACACGAGGCAGGACAGGCTTCTGTTTGATTAACCCTGGTTTTTAAGCAGGGGAAATGCTGAGACTAGGGGAGAGGAATTCCCTGCTCAGAATCCAGCACAGCTGATACCTTTAGGTCCATTTCATGAACGGGCAGGCAGTAGTCATCATGGTGCAAACATGATGTTTCCTGGAAATGGCTATCCTGGCTAGGACCCATGAGCTTGTGAGGAGGCCGAAAACGGCTCTCCACTGACAGTGCACATGCAGCTACAGAATTCTCCATACCTGGCTGGGAACTGCATCATCACTGCCTTCCTGTTCTGAGGAAAAACTGTCGTCTTCATCCTCAGAGTAATTATCAATGTCTGGAGATCGATCTGCAATATGTTGAAGAAGATATTCTTCAGGACATAGCAGTAAATAAGCAGATTCTCACCAAATGCACAGTATAACAACAGTGTGACTGAGAGGGAGGAAAGGGAACCTCTATCTGACATAGATAATGGGTGATAGGGACATTATTCTCTCTCAGTGCTGGGCGAATTACTCTCTCTCAGTGCTGGGTGAATTAGTCCCTCTGTACTGGGTGAATTACTCTCTCTCCGTGCTGGGTGAATTACTCCCTCTCCGTGCTGGGTGAATTACTCTCTCTCAGTGGTGGGTGAATTACTCTCTCTCAGTGCTGGGTGAATTACTCTCTCTCAGTGCTGGGTGAATTACTCTCTCAGGGCTGGGTGAATTACTCTCTCTCAGTGCTGGATGAATTACTCTCTCTCAGTGCTGGGTGAATTAGTCCCTCTGTACTGGGTGAATTACTCTCTCAGTGCTGGGTGAATTACTCTCTCTCAGGGCTGGGTCAATTACTCTCTCTCAGTGCTGGGTGAATTACTCTCTCTCAGTGCTGGGTGAATTACTCTCTCTCAGTGCTGGGTGAATTAGTCCCTCTGTACTGGGTGAATTACTCCCTCTCCGTGCTGGGTGAATTACTCTCTCTCAGGGCTGGGTGAATTACTCTCTCTCAGTGCTGGGTGAATTACTCTCTCTCAGGGCTGGGTGAATTACTCTCTCTCAGGGCTGGGTGAATTACTCTCTCTCAG